CGCTTCCAATACAAAGAAGGTACAAAAATGATTAGACACCTTGATGCATTTAATAAGTTGATTGTAGACTTGTTAAATTTAGATGAGGATATTAAGGATGAAGATAAGGCCTTAATATTGTTGAATTCCTTGCCGGAATTCTTGCTTATGCATGGTAAAGAAACTGTTTGTTACCACTTATGTGCATTGATGCATGAATTGAAATGAAAATGAATAAGATAAAAATCTGATGAGTACCTGAAATGAAGCTTTATGAATTGATAAGATGAGGATAGAGATAAAAAATGGTTAATGACCTCTAAAATGAAGAAGAAATCATTAGTCTGAAGTATTTGTAGAGGAATTCATAAAAGGTCATCTTCTTATAAGAAAAAATCACTCACTCGACGTAGAGGAAATTCTAAAGGTAGAAAAACCTTGGGAAATGAAATGTGCTTTGTTTTGTCATAATAAGGGCCATTGGAAGAAAGATTGTCCTAAGTTGAAGACCAAAGGAAAAGAAAGTTCTGAAGCCAATGTTGCTGAGGTTGAAACAAAATTTTCTGATTTTGCTTTAACCACCTCCTCATCATTTAATTATGCTACTAAATGGGTGTTGGATACAGGTTGTACTCATCATATGACTCCTCACAAGGATTGGTTTTCAAGCTTGAAAGAGTTTGATGGTGGTGTTGTGTTCATGGGAGATGACAATTTTTGTACAACAAAAGGGATTGGTACAGTTCGTTTGAAGTTGCATGATGACATGGTTAAAGAGTTGATAGGTGTTTGGTATGTACCAAATTTGAAGAAAAATCTTATTTCTTTGGGCACTTTAGAATCCAAGGGCTTCAGGTTTCATTTAGATGGGCAGACATTGAATGTTACTTATGGTGCACTTGTTGTGATGAAAGCTCCTTGATGTGGTCATTTGTATCTATTACAAGGAAGCACTGTGACAGGTGAAGCATCTGTAGTTTTAGAAAATATGGGCACATCTTATTCAGATACTACTAGATTGTGGCATATGAGATTAGGCCATGCCGGTGAGAAAGCTCTATAAGGGCTTGTGAAAAAAGGTCTTCTAAAGGGTGCGGCGACTTGTAAGCTTGATTTCTGCGAGCATTGTGTCTTGGGAAAGCAAACTAGAGTGAAGTTTGGTACTGCAGTACATCAGACGAAGGGCATTCTTGATTATGTGCATTCGGATGTTTGGGGTCCTACAAAGACTCCCTCTTTGAGTGGTAGACATTGCTTCGTTACCTTTGTAGATAATTATTCTAGAAGGTTTTGGGTCTACACTATGAAGCACAAGAGTGAGGTGTTGAGCATTTTCTTGGGTTGGGAAAAAATGGTTGAGAACCAGACTGGGAGAAAGATTAAAATTTTACGATCGGATAATGGTGGAGAATACACATTCGACCCTTTCTTTAAAATTTGCAAAGAGGAAGGGATTGTGAGACATTTTAGTGTCCGGGGAACTCCACAACAAAATGGAGTTGCAGAAAGATTGAATCGAACCTTGCTTGAGAAGGTTACATGTATGTTGTCTCAGTCGGGTTTAAGCAAGTCATTTTGGGTAGAGGCAGTTAATTATGCATGTCACATCATCAACCGGTTACCCTCAGCTGCTATTCAGGGTAAAACACCAATGGAGGTATGGACTGGAAAACCTTCTTCTGATTATGACTATATTTGTATTTTTGGTTCACCTACTTATTTTCATGTGACTGAAAATAAACTTGATCCTAGAGCCAAAAATGCTATCTTTCTTGGTTTTAGTAGTAGTGTCAAAGGTTACCGGTTGTGGTGCCCAGAGATGAAGAAACTTGTAATCAGTAGAGATGTGACATTTGATGAAGAAAGTATGTACAAAGATTTGAGAAGAATGTGAAAGATGTCCAACAGGTGGAGCTTGAGAAAGTTGCCTCTGGTACTTCAAATCCTATTTCCGCTAATGTCGAAGCCACTACAAGTGAAGAAGTTGGAGACCATGAGGATGTTGAAGAAGTTGAACTTGAAGATTCTATTCAAGTTGAAGAGGAAGTTTCACCTCAAGAGTTTATTGCCAAGAACAGAGGAAAGAGACAAATTACTAAGCCAGCTAAGTATAGTGGCTATGTTGCTTTTGCTCTTCCTATTATCATTGATGATATTCCATCCAATTTCGAGGAAGCCATTGAGAGTGAGGAGAAGGAGAGGTGGTGCAATGCCATGGGTGATGAGATGAATTCTCTCTTGAAGAACAAGACTTGGGAGTTAGCTAAATTGCCTAAGGGCAAGAAAGCTATCGGTTGCAAATGGGTGTATGCCAAGAAGGAAGATGCTGATGAGAAAAGCAATGTGAGATTCAAAGCAAGATTAGTTGCTAAAGGGTATGCACAAAAGGAGGGCATTGACTACAATGAAATATTTTCTCCGGTTGTGAAGCACTCCTCAATTCGCATTATGTTAGCTCTTGTTGCAGAGTATGATCTTGAGCTTGTGCAACTTGATGTGAAGATGGCTTTCCTACATGGTGATTTAAATGAAGAGATCTATATGTGTCAACCGGATGGGTATACAGTGAAAGGGAAAGAAAAATTTGTTTTGCAAATTGAAGAAATCACATTATGGCTTGAAACAATCTCCAAGGCAATGGTATTTTAGGTTTGATAAATTTATGAAAGGCCAAAATTATTCTAGAAGTCAATATGATCATTGTGTGTACTTCAAGAAATTGCAAGATGGGTCTTTCATTTATTTGTTGATATATGTTGATGATATGTTGATTGCCTCAAAGAATGTTGAAGAGATTGAAAAATTGAAGAAGCAAATGAAGAATGAGTTTGAGATGAAGGATCTTGGTGAAGCGAAGAAGATCCTTGGCATGGAGATCACTAGAGATAAAGAGAAGGGTTTGGTCAGTTTGAATCAAAGAAAATACCTTGAGAAGTTGATTCGGAAGTTTGGAGTTCATGATTCAACCAAACTGGTTAGTACCCCTTTGGCTCCTCATTTTAAATTGAGTTTTCTACAATGTCCTAAAACTGATAAAGCGAAGTTGCAAATGAAAAATATACCATATGCAAATTTGGTTGGTAGTTTGATGTATGCAATGGTATGCTCTAGACTGGATATTGCTTATGCAATTGGCATGGTGAGTTGATATATGCATAATCCAGGTAAAGAGCATTGGCAAGCAGCTAAGTGGATATTGAGGTATCTCCATGATACTCGAAACGTTGGTTTATGCTTTGAGAGAGATGACTCTGGTATTGGTCATTTTGCAGTTGGTTATGTTGATTCAGACTATGCAGGTGATCTGGATGGAAGGAAGTCTACTACAGGCTATGTGTTTACTATGGCTAAAGGGCTAGTTTGTTGGAGGTCCATTTTGAAGTCGTCTGTTGCCTTGTCTACTACAGAGGCTGAATATATGGTAGTTGCCAAAGCTATAAAGGAGGCCATTTGGATACATAGGCTGATTAGAGATTTGAGGGTTGATCAGAAGCAGGTGGAGGTACATTGTGATTGTTAGAGTGCCATTTATTTGGCTAAGTATCAGGTTCATCATGCGAGGACCAAGCACATAGATGTGCGTTATCACTTTGTGCGTGAAGTCGTTGGTGAATGAGAGATTATTCTCCAGAAGATTCCAACTAAAGACAACCCCGCTGATATGTTGACTAAGGTTGTTGGTGTAGCCAAGTTTGTTCATTACTTGAACTTGGCTCACATTTTGCCTATATAAAGAAGGCGTTGAGCAATAGGAGTTTTGGAGGATTTGGCTCGGCATGAGTTGTTCTCTTGCTAGTGTTTGTGAGTGATTTTTTGTGTTGATTGTGTTGGTTGGCTTATCATGGTGTTTTTAGAATTTGGCCAAGGTGAAGATTGTTGGATAGTGGCCAAAATTAGTGGCCAACTTGCAAATACCTTTTGATTAAATAAAAGAAAAGAAAATGTGGACAACATCATTGTATCCTTTCCTTGTTTTGGGGAAAAGAAAAAGGCAACTTGTCTAAAGTCCTTTTTATTTGGCCCTTTGTGAAAGCCATGGGATAGTGGCTAGGTTTTAATTAGGGGCAGTAGCTGCCATATGGGAAGAGTAGCAGAAAAATAAAGGCAGCAGCAGAGAAGAGAAAGAAGAAGAAGTGCAGCAGCCCCACTTTGAAGAGAAGAAGAAGGTGCTTTTCTCTTTGGTTAGTAATCATTCATCAAAGTTGTATATGTTGTATTAGCTTTGAGCTTCGTATAGAAAAGAAATTATTCACAATATTTCCTTCTCTATTTGGTTCTTTGGTGTGTGAGAGCTATTGGTTGTATTGGGATTTTGGGTTGTGAGATTGCCAACATTTTGTAAACTCCCATTTGGTTGATAGTGGATTATTGGGTGAGCTCCTACTGCTCCGAGGATGTACTCCAGTTAAACTGACTGTTGAGGAACTTCGTTAAAATCTTGGTGTCTTTAATATTTTGTTCTTACATTTCATTTGATATATTTCATGTGGGTTGTCAAGAGTTGGTTCCATAAGGCTTGGTGCTATCCTAGCACAACGGGAGATCATAGAGATGTATTGCATGTTTTTCTTCTTTGTTACGTATGTACTTGTGATGCTGGTTTGTTGGGGCGCGCATGTAATTAATTAAACCTCTAAACAATATTATATGAGGTTAGCAAGACTTGTCTTTTCTTTAGTTCAACTTATTGCTTGTCATTGTTGTCATTAACACTAAACTTGGTCATGTCATTTGGAAACAGACAATATCTCATGATTTACTCCCCAATACAATCTCTTTCTCTCTCTCTCTCTCTAGATTTCTCTCTGTACATTAATTGGTTTGATGAAGAACTTCTTTTAGCTTTGAGACATCACTCATCACAAGATTAAGAATAGCATGCAACAGGAGCAACTTTTTACATGTTATGGCGAACTTATCAACCTTTGTACTATAGAAGCTTTACCATCCTGCCTTGGTTTAATTGACATAAAGTAGTACACCTGCATGCATATATTATCATGACCTGCAACTTGCTGCCCTCAATTCGAAATTTCTCCATTATTATTATTGAATGGAGATCCGGTACTAAATGTCGGAGGAACCATCACTGAAGAGGAAACCTTGAACCTCTTACTCCTCGAACCCTCCTCACTATCATCACCAAGGTTAATCCGACTACCCAACTGATTATCTGGACTATCCATCCACCCCATAATTTGGTCCATGATACTCCCTTCCCCAATTTCAGACCCTTCATAATCCACCCCTACTTGCCGTAACCCGTGGGCCCACTCGGCGCTGCAGTCCGAAATACTAGAGTTCTCCCAAGAGGAAGGCTCAGTACTAGTAGTACTCTCTCCATTATTATGGGGCACTATGATGCTAGGCTGCACCACTTTCTCTATATTCTTCATATCAATTAAAGGGTTTACTGTGTTTTGGTATTGGTATTTCCTAAAGTGGAAAATACTTGCAAAAGTGAAGTGGTCACTCACCCTGCTTTTTGAGGACCTGTTATGATCACTACTCCTAGCCATGATACTTTGGAGGTTCTTGCTTAACTTGGCCTTCAAGGAAGAGAAGCTAAGCCCTGCACCACCATGGCGGCCATCAGACCCCGACACAAAGCTCCCATTGGAAGCACTAGAGACCAATGGACTTGAGTTAGGGTTTGTGGCTGGACCGGGGGGCGCAAAGTTGGTGCGGGCGTTTTCGCCACGTAATGCTCTAGCAGCTTCATCATAAGCTCTTGCTGCTTCTTCAGGTGTGTCATAAGTGCCTAGCCATAGCCTCACACGTTGGGATGAGTCCTTGATCTCTGCTACCCATCTTCCAGATGGCCTTTGCCTAACCCCAACAAACCTCCGGAGTGCAGTTTTAGTGCTTGATGGTGATTTCGTCAGCATGTTTTTGTTGGTGGTGGTGGTGGCGGCGGCAATAGTGGTTTTTGTGAGAGCTTGAGGTCCTGCCATTCACAATACAAGTATTATATCTAGGGTTTCTAGCTTGGAGCTAGGTTGTATGGTATTTGAGCTTTGATTAAGGGTTTTTTTTTTTTTTTTTTTTTCTAGCTTTGCATGTGAAAAACACATGGAGTTGAGTTGTAATCATTTGGCCCTATATATAAGGTTGCTCTAAGAATTGATGAATATTGTTTACAATATAAGCATATACCCATCTCTATTATTTTTCTGTTTTGGTCTTCATCTCCTACACAATATTTTATTCTTAACCGTGTGCATGATTTACTTCCATGCCTTAGCTTGGCTTGAGAAGTCTGACATCGGCTTGCTAGCTGATAAGCACTCCATCAATATTCTTAACCCTAGCTAGCCTTAATTGCTTTTGACGAGTCTAGATTCTGCATTTGTGTGTTTATGCTTAAAAACTAATTCTACGTTGTAATTACGGATTGTCCTGAATTATGTCATCATAAAGATGTAGTATATCGAATTTACATGTTAATTAAAATAGGGTGCATGATTTTGGATAATATAGGAGTATTGTGTATTAATTTGAGTGATCTTTACATGTACATCAAAATATCATGTGGTGTACTAGATATATTTTATAATGTCTCAGTATGTATAAGAAATTATTGATGCATTAGAACATCTCTATTCTATGTCTTAACGAGGAGCTACTGCTACTTTTAGAATGAGGAGAGAAAGTCGAGTGTACCAATATCATACCAGAGTTGCTAGATTTTTTTGGACGTTTACACATGTTCTTACAACTTGAAGTAGGGGAACTCCCATCTAGCTCCCAAATAAATTCTTTGGATTCCCATTTTTCTGTCCGGTGATTCAAGGGAAAGCTAAAATCAATTAATTTAGCTCGCCAAATGTAGTTTATCGTATTGGAGATGCATGCTGATATAAATTGGCCAGCAATAAGCTTTGAAAATGTGGCTTAATCAGAGCTGAGCAGAGCTTGCTCGACTCAGAGAAATCAAATAATACGTAGAGTATCGGACAGAAGAAAAGGCGGTCCGAGCTTGTCAGTTTGCAAATGAAGAACGGATATTGAACGTTTGATTGGAAATTTTTAAATCCGGCTGGTTCAGTTTAAAAGCTTTAAATATGCTGGATGATTAGTGATGACGCAAAGGCTAACCCTCGGATTTTAGTATCATACAATGATTGTGGGCACCACCATTTCCATTCTTTGTCCTTTCTGCTGTTTGTATTTTCCTGGCCAAATTACCCTTCATATTAGACCTATTTATCCCTTCGATTTGGGACCATTGATTTGTTTTGCAGTGAGATTAGTGGGTTAATTACACCTAATTATTGTCTTAATCACGAATCCGTGGCCCTTGGATGGTTGGGATTACGACTATAGTCGTTTAAGTGCGGCCAAAGATTCCTAATATTTCATTCCTTATTAGAGTGAAGTTGTGACTTGTCAACTAGCTCACCATACAAATATTTTTTTTATAGAAAAGTTAATGAAAATGGTTTGAAAACTTTAAGTTTTAACGATAAGGACAAAATAATGGATAAAATGAATATTACCAGGATTGACTTGTCAGTGTAAAAATAAATTTTTTCGTTAAAGTAAATAATATCGGGAGCTTTTCGTTAAATTTCTTTTTTTTTCCTTGTTTTTTTCCTCATGCAACATGCAAGAATGACACGTGGTATATGCCAAATTGGACAAAGAATCCAAGGCATGAGATGGTTTTGATTGGGAGGCTAAACTTGTGGTAGGTATGAAATCTCTTGACTGTGTTTAAGCGAACATGTTTCCTTTTAGGTTAACTGGCTTGGAAGACGAAGGAGCATTAGAGTACTTCTAATTAATCAGCTAATTAATTAGGGATTGTCTGTTAATTAATGTTGTGGAGCAGATTGAATCATTCACAATTTTGCGTGTAGATGTTATCAATACAAGACTTGGTCACTCTCTGGACTGTAAGCAATGGAGTTTAGTTAATCTTCAACTTGACTGCTCTTGCTTCTCACTCAGTACGTACTACACAACAATTTTCATTGTATTTGTGAAAATGACAACCACACCAATGGAAAATTTGGCTGCGAAGTAAAGCTCCCAAGGTATAAAGACATGCATGTACGTACTCAGCCAATTTAGAGACAATGGCATCATGATGAGTGCTGGTGAGAGTGATTTATATAATAGTAGTAATATCTCACAAACACTGCATGCCTGGGAATTCCGCAATGTCGGTTAAGAACATTTACTTTAGCTAGCTTATGAAATGGTGGTTAAGAACATTTACTTTAGCTTGTGATGATATCTTGTGTTCAATTCTCTTTCTTTCGATACCGCTTCTTTAAATAGTAATAGGCTAGTAGTAGTTAATACAAATATATACCACTTCTGCAAGTTATGATTAACTACAAGCTCGTTTGATAACTATTTAGTTATTGGTTTTTTGTTTAAGTTTTGTATCAGTGACGCAGGGGAAATTCAAAGAAGAGAAAAGATATATGAAAGAGTGGAAGAAAGGACACAAGTGGGGATTAAGTTGAAGAAGGTACAAGGAAATAACACAAAATAAATACTACAATTCAAAAGTTATTTTAAGTTGTTTTTATTTCAAGATTTTGTTTTAAATCATAGTTCTTCTTCCCCTCTCTTCCCTCACTCTTCTCCATCTCTCTCTTTCTTCATATACTTTTTCCGCATCTCAAACACAAAAACTAAAAATTATATTCTAATAACTAAATGGTTTTCAAATCGGCCCTATATTTGTCAAACCCAAGTTTGCCATCTCTAAGGTGTGGACCACACTTTGCCGACCTTGTGTGGACCAAATGTGGTCCGTTAGATCAAATTTGAACAACTGAAAACCAATCCATTCAAATGAGATTACGATGAAACCGGGTCATAAATGACCTGTCACTAAATGAAAACGGTTCACGACAACCACTTGAATTTTTTTAGATTTAAACTCTTCTCCACCGCGACAACAAAAGTAACCTTCTCAAATTTGTGTTCTCCTCCCAAACTCTCTATCTCTAGTGAGCGCTCAAACTTTTTTCCCATTCTAAACCTAGTGGTAGTTGTAATGTGCTTTCTTTTCCGACCTCATTGCACTTCTAGATAGTAGTTAAGAAAATCAAGGGAGTATAGTCCAAGGGTGTCCAGTCGGTTCCACATCAAGGACGTGTTTTTCGCTTCATTCGAGTTGGGTTCAGAGTCCTTGCACGATAACTGATGTCATATTTGATTCCCCATAGTCAAATTAGGTGAGTTTTGAAAATGGAACTTTAGAATTTAGTTTTGTTATTTTTGTTAATTAAGTTAGTTTTAAGGTTAATTATGCATATTCCTAGTTGAAATTGATGAATATATGTGAAATTTTGGGAAATTTGGGTGCGTTGTGAAGTTATGAAGCGTTGTTAACAGGTTGTGTGGAGGCTCTGTTGTTCACTGTTGTTTTGGTAAAGTCGTAGATTTGAGTTGAGATTGATTTTTGTTGATGAAATATTGTTAATCTTATGATTTGAGTTAATATTGCTTAAGTAATAATGCTTTGTTCACAATAGATGTATAGCTATGAAACTTTTTTGACAGGTTGTTTTAAAGGTATGTATTGTTGAATTTGTTTTTGTTAAGGGTATACCTTGGTAATTGTTTATATTGTTATGTGTACAGGATATGACAACCCATGGTATTCAACTAGCAATCAAAGAAGAAGATTCTTATAGGGGGAATGGTTAACAACCCATCCTAAGCCCCCCATGTGGTAGGATTGATAGGGGAGAAGTTTAATGAGGCACAACTTTGCTTTTAGGGCATCCTTCTTTGGCCACCTTTAGCGTGTTGATGAATTGGCCTTTAGTCAGCAGAGTTGTCGCTCTATAGAGTGGCAAATCAAAAGGTTAAAGACCTAGAAATACTAACTTATTTAATACGTTGTAAATTCAGCCGGTTCACAAAGCAAGACTTCTGCCTCATTACTGGGCTATGATGTGACGAACCTTATGACTTAGAGGTTGAGCTAGAAAGGATTAGGCTGTTGAGGGAGTATTTTAAGGTTGGTAGGTGAAAGTAGCAAGTAGAGGAAAGAAAAGGGCAGAGGCAAAGCCAAGGCCGCCCACAAGAAAATCACCAAAAAAAAAAAATAGTTTGTGACTTGCGGGGAGCTTGAAATGGCCTTTAAGGAGTGCAAGAACAAGAATGATGCCTTCAAGTTAGGTCTAGTATACTTTGTCGAGGCTTTGTTGATTGGGGCAAAGTCCTTTGACTTGAGACACAACAATTGTCTTGTGAGTATATCTTTGATAATTTGACAACGTAACAAATTCCACGTCTCGTCTTGGCCATTTTCCTAGCTTTGTTGGGATCATTGATCTATTCATAGAGACATGTGAGTGTACAATAAGGGATCTCTAACCTTTCATGGTGAAAGGAGAATACTTTGAGATACGATTCAGGAGTCTTTGGTCAAAGCACATGAACATGATTTAGGAACTATGTTCCAAATCATACTCACTGGAATAATACAGAGAAGTATAAATTAGATAGTAGACATGAAATAAAATGTCAACGAAACGCTATGGTCAAGAGAATCGAATTAGATAAGAACCGTATTACATTGTTGTTGTAACTGAATAAGTTCTCTAACCACTTCTACTTAGCTTAGGTAGCCTTGACTTATTTGCTAAGTGACACTCATGGTTTGTGAAAGCCCTGAAGATTAGCAATTGAAAGTTAGTTTTAGTTCACAATCGATTAGTAAAAGTTATAATTGCATTTACAATCGATTAGTGAGAGTTATAATCGCTTTAACAATCAATTAGTAAAAGTTATAATTGCATTTACAATCAATCGCTTTAACAATCAATTAGTAAAAGTTACAATGGCCCACTATCTCACTAACTAGAACATAATGAATTGTACACATTGTAAGGATGAGTATGAAGAAATATAATCGAGATGGATATTAGCAATTATATAATTTAATTGAGTATGATCAAGATTAATTAAAATAGTTAATAAT